AAAAAAAAAAAAAAAAAAAAAAAAAAAAAAAAAAAAAAAAAAAAAAAAAAAAAAAAAGACAAAGGACTTGAATAGACATTACAGACATTTCCCCAAAGATAATAACAAATGGCCAACGAGCACGTGAAAAGCTGTTCTACGTCACTCATCATTAGGGAAATGGAAATCAAAATCACAGTGAAATACCACCTCACATCGTGAAATGAATGAAATGAGAATGGAAGGAGGGAGGGAGGGAGGGAAGACAGAGGAAGAGGGAGAAGCAAGACGTGCTTGATACAGAAACTGGAGCTGTCGTGCATTGGTGGGAATGTGAAATGGTTCAGCTGCTATGAAAAACAGTATCATGAGTCTTCAAAGATTAAAACCAGAATTACCACATGGTCCAGCAATTCCACTTTTGATATAAACCCCCAAAATCGGAAGCTGGGTCCCAGAGAGGTGCACATGTTCATAGCAGCACTACTCACAAAAACCAACCCAGATGTCCTTGGATCAACAAAATGTGGTCCGTACATACAGTGAATAGTATTCATGCTGAAAAAGGGAGATTCTGACATATGATGTAACATGCATGGACTCAGGATTTTAGGCTAGGTGCAATAAAACATCACAAAAGGACAAATCCTGCGTGACTCCACCTTTATGAGGAGCTGAAATGGTCACATTTGTGAGGACGAGGCCAGAGAAACAGAAGGGGAAGAAGGCACAGTTGTTCCATGGGTCCAGCTTTTCAGTTTGCGGAGACCAAAGAGGTTCTGGAGATCGCTGCAGAACAGTAAGAATGGACGTAACGACACTGAACTTCCAATATAAAGGAGATTTTACAGAGATACAGAGATGGATGGGTGGATTTATGTTTAAACATGCCAACACTGGTCCAATTCCACATTTATGTTTAACTCTTTTTTGGGGGTGTACCAGGGATCTAACTCAGGTCCTTAGGCTTGTGAGGCAGGCAGCAGAACCACTGAGCTAAATCCCCAGCCCATATGTTTAACTCTTAATAGAATATCAGGCACAAATAGTATGAAAAATGGAATCTTCTCAAGGCCCTGACCCAGTCCTATCCAGGAGAACTTTTCTCTAAAAAAGACAAGAGTGCCTCCAAGAAGAGTGGAAATAATCTATAAACTAAAATATTTTAGAGGAATAGGAATTTTAATAAGACTTCAAATCTGGTAAAGGTGAAGAGCTCCAAGTCCCACCACATATCTGTAGGTGGCAGTAATAGCACAGTATTTACATCAAAGTAGGCTGAAATATCAGTCAGTATGCAAAACTAGGTAACAGACAAGGAACCAAAAGTTTTATGTCCAATTTAACCACATTATTTATTTTAACCATATATGCACTCCTACATTAAATAAATAGCAGTTAACTTCTCTGACACAAAATCTTTTTGCCTTGCCCAAACACTTTCCCCTTAAGGCCAAACAGCCAGTCCTGGTGGACCTTATTTCTGTTTTTGCCTCATGCTTTCATTGATGTCTTTATGACCATTTCTACCTGAAAACATTAGCCATCCAATCTGAATATATGAATATTAAAGTTTTATTTGGACATGACATCACTTTCTTACAGAGAAACGCAAACACTAATGGGATCCCCAAGCTACTTGCTGAGCTGTGCAGTCAAGTACACATGGAGCGATGTGCCTGGCCTATGCCAGCAAGTCATACATCAAATGAGATGGACACAAGAGCTGAGAGTGCAACCATTCAACTGCAGAAGAGAGATGTCAGCCGGGTGTGGTGGCACACACCTGTAATCCTTGCACTTGGGAGGCTGAGGCAGGAGAACCGCTGAGAGTTTGGGCTACGTAGTGAATTCAAAGCCAGCCTGCACTATAAACCAAGACTCTGCCTTAAAAAAAAAAAGATGTCACAGATACCTACCTCAACACCCTAGTTCTAAAACCTGTGATTATAAATCAAATAAAATGTGACATTAATGTTAGAAAAATAAAACCCCAAACCAGAGGCAGGGACAGTCCCTCCTCCCACACACAAAGAGAAACAGGACCAAGCAAGCCACCTCATAAGTCTTGGAGGGTGGCACTACCCACTACTTCCTTTCCTTTTTTGCTAGGATCCTATTTAGACTGCATGGCTTGCTGGTAGGCAGGGGCTACATGAGCTGAAAGTCATAAATGTCTCATGAGGAACATCTGTATAAAAAGTATTAGCAATAAGAGATAACACTGCAGCCAAAGTTCAACTCACCTGTCACTGGTGCTAGGGTTTTTATAAACATAAAAGGCATAGCTCTGTTAAATAGCTCTCCTGAATAACCTGATCAGTAGTTTACTTTCAAGAAAACAAAACAAAAAAAGCATGCACAGGTTTTTGTCTTCCTTTGTAGGCTTACTGCAGTGTCTCCAAGAGGATGACTTAAAAGTAAAAATGAGGTAAAACCACACACATTAAAAAGCAACAGCATAATGTAAGACAAATGATGACAGGAAGAACTCGCACTGGGGGCTCTGAGTTTCGAAGAAGCACAATCACTCAGTCCAGGACACATTAAAGTTTGCCCAGTTACCATCCCACCTGCTCTCAACTACAGTCCCAGAAATTCAGAAGGCGAAGAAAGATAAAATACTGCAGTGGAAAGAGGTGATGAGAGGAATCCCTTCAAATTCTAAAGGCTGGACGTGGAAGGCCCCTTAGAAATGGTCTCTGCCAAGCTCCCCTTCCTTCCAGTTGGGAGTGATGGCAAGAGAAACGAGCCAGCTTCTGAGACAATCAGTGCGTTCGTCAGTGGCACACGCAGGGCTGCAGCAGAGCTACCCAGCCCCAGTGAAGGACAAGAACATTTTAAATATGCTGCAAGGAAAAGGAGATGCTTCTGATGGATCAGTGACAAAGAGAACTAGCATTTGGTGTCTAAGCACATACTGGACACAGCCTTGAGGGATGAGGCAATTCACAAACTGAGATTCCAGGTGGTATAAAAATTACTCATGGAAACAGCTTCAAGCACACTCAGTTTCTGCTAACTCCAAAGCCCAAGCTTTCTTTAAATAGCCTTTTTGAATATGAAATATAACACACGGCATGTAGTGTGGCAGGCTGAAAAATGTACGGCTTTCTTTCCATCCTTCCCCTGACTCGCTCTGGGGCCCTGGCCTCCTCCTCAGTCCTGCTAATGGAAACCTTGGAATGGAGTCAAGCCAGGAGTCGCCCGAGCTCCCCTTATAGGAAGCCTCAACAGAAACCACTACTGCCCCAAGGCTGCTCATTCCACAGGTTTCTTACCCTTGCTTCTTGAGCTCCTTGGGTCCCACATGGCCAGAGTAACAAAGAAAGACACAGTTGCAAGGTCTTCCAAGCAGATGTCTGGAGTTCCTTCCTCTGGGGGAAGTATTCCTCTGATTTTATCTTCCCCCACAATTACCATGCTTCAAAAATTTTTAATTAAACTAAGTATACTGGGTATGCACTAAAGGGCTTCATTTTGGCATATCTGAACCTGCATATTGATCATTCCCTTCCTATCAACCTTCGCCTTTTGTCACCTCTTCCTCTAACAGTGTCCTTTCTATTTTTGTGTTGTTTCTTTCTGCCTCTCTCTTCTCCCCTAGATTCTTCATATGAAAGAAATGTGATATTTGGCTTTCTGGGTCTGCCTATTTCACTTAACCTGATGGTTTCCAGTCCATTTTCCTGCACATGACATGATTTTGTTCTTTTTTATGGCTGAATAATATTCTATTGTGTATATATGCCACATTTTCTTTATGCATTCATCAACTGATGGGCACCTAGCTGTCTCCATAGCTTAGCTATTACGAATTGTACAATAAACGTAAGTGTGCAGGTATCTCCACGGTGCTAACTTCAATTCTTATGGTAACATGAGGAGTACTGGATCACCAAATCAATTGCTAGCTCTATTTTTAGTGTTTACAGAAACATCCATATTGATTTCCGTAATGGCTGTGCTAATCTATAGTCCCATCAATAGTGTAGAAGAGCCCCCCCCAATATCCTCACCAACATTTATTGTTTTGTTTTGTTTTGATATTTTGGATAACTACTAATCTGACTGGGTTGAGATGGAATCCTAGTGTAGTATTGATTTGCATTTCCCTGATGGCTAGAGGTACTTAACATTTTTTCATATACTAATCAGTCATTTGTACTTCTTTTCAGAAGTATCTGTTAATTCATTTGCCCATTTAGGGATCGAGCTATTTGGGTTGTGTCTGTTTGTTGGTTAAGTGTTCTGAGCTCTTCATATATTCCAGATATCCATCCTCTGTCAGAAGAGCACCTAGCAAAGATTTTTCTCGCACTCAGTAGGCTATTTTTTCCCTCTGCTGACTATTTCTTTTGCTGTAAAGAAGCTTTTAAAATTGATGTAAACTTATTTGTTGATCCTTGCTATTATTTCCTGGGCTAATAAAGTCCTATTCAGAAAACCTTTACCTGTGCCTATGACTTCAATTTTTTCTAGGAGTTTCAAAGTTTTGGGTCTTCTCCCTAGGTCCTTTGATCCATTTCAAATTGATTTTTGTACACAGGGAAAGGTGGGATGTGGTTTTAGTCTTCTACAAATGGATGTACAGTTTTCCTAGCACTATTTATTAAAGAGGCTATCTTTTATCCAACATATGATTTTGGCCTCTTCAATCAAGAACCAGGCGGCTGTTGTTATACATGTTTGTTTCTCTGTCCTCTATCCTAATTGTCTTTTTTTTGGGGGGGTACTAGGGATCAAACTCAGGTCCTTGCGTTTGCAAGGCAGGCGGTGGAACCACTGAGCTAAATCCCCAGCTATGTATCTATTTTTGTGCCAGTACTATCCTGTTTTTATTACTATGGCTTTGTAAGATATTTTAAAATCAGGAATAGGATTGCTCTTTTGCGCAAGATTGTTTTGGCTACTCTAGGTCTTTCGTCTCTGTATGAATTATAGTGTTGTTTATTATAGTTCTGTGACAATGTCATTGGTTTCTTGATGGGGATCATACTGACTCTAGTTTGTTTTTGGTAATATGGTCATTTCCCCCTCCTTATTATTACTACAAAATGATGTGACCACCTAAGAGTGAACACCTACATATTTAGGTATGGCCTGCTTCTTGAAATTCATATAAATGTCATCATCCACTATGAATTCCTTCATGTCTAGCTTTTTTAAAAATTAAGGAGATTCATCCACATTGGTATATCTGCCTTGTATATCATTTATTTTCTATTGTGAGCAGCACTCCTTTCTATGTCTACACAACTCATTTATTCATTCTATTGCTGTTAAACACTAAGTTGTTCCTAATTTGAGGCTATTATAAATAATGCTACTATGAACGTTCTTGTCTATGTCTCCTGGTGCACAAGAACACACAAACCTTCATTTTAGTACTTAATAACAAACTTTTCCTTATTTAAGCTCCCACCAGAAATGCACAAGAGCTCCCCATTGCTCAATGGCCTTGTCAACACTTTACTTTTTCAGATTTTGTTGTTGTCAGCATTTTGGTGGATGAATAAAGCCTTCTTGTGATTTTAGCTTTCATTTCCCTGATTACAAATGAAGCTGAGCAGGCACACATCTTCACTGGCCATTTGATCTGTACACCTTTGAGTGCTTGCTTATTCAAGTCTCCAGCTCCCTGAATGGCAGAGACCTTTCTATGACCAATAGCACCCACAGGTCGACAGAATCCAGCTACAAAGCCATTCCTTGGGAATATGAACTCATTGGTGACAAAACAAACCGGGGGGAGGTTCTATCCCCCCTTGAGATTGTTTGCTACAGGTCAAATTGTTATTGCTGATGACCAACCTCAACAAAACTCACTAAAACAAAATATAATGCTATGATTTGCCGTAAGAAAAGAACACATGGGGGCCAGAAATTTAGCTCAGTGGTTCCACCACCTGCCGCACAAGCACAAGGTCCTAAATTCAATTCCCAGTACAAAAAAAAAAAAGAGAGAGAGAGAAAAGAAAAGAGCACATGATCTGAGAATCATGAAAAAATATCCCTGGGTCACACCATCTGCAGTATACTCTGAGTGCTCAACATAAACATACTTTGGGCTCAGCTTGAAGACTGAGCTAGATAAAGCTCTTAAAGGATTTAGAACCCTTATCGGATGATAATTCACCTCCATTACCTTTGATAATACAGATAGAAACAAACGAAGAGATAATTTTAAAATCCTAAATAACTTACTCTAAATCTAAAACTTCACAGTTAAGGGGTTACTTTAACTATACAGATGGTTCTATACAAAAGCCCTCAGAATCAACCTCACACACACTGGAATGAATGTAGGTTTACATCTGAGTCACCTGATAACATACCTTCTACTTCTTTACCAATCCTTTTGGTGCCAGTACTTTCCCCTTGACATAACTAATACCTGAGATTAGTCAACCTATTGTGTGAAGGTTTATTTGGGTTTATGACCTGCAGGCCCTGTTGCTTTGGGCCTATGGCGGGATCACGTCAGGGCAGGGAAAGTGTGCTGGAGTGACTTAGTGGCCAGGAGGCCTCACGGTGTTCACATCATGGCTGAGAATGAAACAGAGAGAGGAGGAAACCAGCAGTCCTCAGAAAACATGCCCTCCATGACCTAAATCTTCCTACCAGGCACCCCGGCTTAAGGTTCCCACCATCTTCACAGCACCAGGCTGAGGACACAGCCTGTGATACCTACGCCTCTGGGGGACACGGATGATCCACACTAGGGCCCTCCACAGGGCCTTGTTCTTTTGATCTGCTATCTCCTCACATTAGCTTTCTCCCTATAGAGTCATCTCCAGCACACCCACTTTAACTGTGAGACCTGAATTTGCAGTTATAAGGTCATGGAAATCACAATAACCAGAATTCTAAGTCAGCTGCTGTGAGCCCTTTGACAACAGTTCCGTTAGGGCAATTGTCCCACTGTGAATTCTTGGCCTGGGTCCGTAGGACTTCAGTGGCTCCAGGACTGATTAACCGCCATATGGGAATCTTCCTATGAGGATCTTCTTATGACAGAATCTTTAAGGTAACGCCTCTCTTAATTCCCACTTTTTTTGCTTCTTTAGTTCTATTTTCATTAGGCTTGTCTACGACATACATGGCCAAATCTGGGTTCAAGTCGTTGGCTATGAAGTAATTAATTAACACATCCATAAAAGTTGCCAAAGGAATTCGAGAATGCTAAATTTATAATGCAATTTAGAAAATTAAATAAAAAGGTTGATACTAACTTGGTTATAAGATTATTGCTCTAAATTGTTGGGATTAAACACACACACATTTAGATAAATAGCTTCTCCATCTTTATCTAGAAACTCCTAGTATTCAACAAATCCCCTTACCCTACTTCTATTCTCCCCACCCTAAAAGAACAGTTTAGACAGAAGTCTGAGAAAGGGAGAAGCAGGGGACAAGGTAACAAAATACCAAACTGGAGAGTGTTAGGGCCACATGAGACACTCCTGCTGTTATACTCCTGCTGCTCTCCCTGGGGACTGGCTGTCTAGCTCCAGACCTGCTGCTGACTGTCTCCATGCTGGGACAGGGGAACACTACTATACTACAGCCTTCCCCTGGTCACAATACTGGTGGGAGGCAAGAAAGGTAAGGCACCCTCAGGCTTGCTACGGTTGGGGAACTATGTTAATTAAGAACAGGATATACTATTTTACCTGTGGCACAGACAAGCCTCTGACCCAGAGCATGCTTTACAATGGGGATTTGTTGTCTAAATCCACTAAGTATATCCTTCCTAATAATTATAAAATTGGCTTATCTGAGTCAGGTTATAGTCACTCAACAACTGGACTTTCATGTTGAAATCAAAATGCACTCAGAGTTTTTAACATGTAAACCAGAACACAAAACCAGAGCTAAAACAGATTCTTTCATAAAGTGAGGGGAAACCTGCAGTCTCTAGGAATATGTGCGATCTCATTTTGGAAAGGTCTAAAAATGCTCTTTTGCTTGCATAAGTGAGGAAATTAAAGCTGCAGGAATGCTTCCTGAAGTTCTTGTGTTTGAATATAAAATTCAATAAGATCAAGTACTAAAGAAGAAAACCAGACGTTATAAAAGTTTAATCCTGGATTCAGGGTTTACTTGCTGTAAATGGTGTGGGGGATTTGGGGGGGCTGTAATTCTTTCCCAATATAAAATCATGACGAAGAGCCAGGAAGAGCAGAGAAAAAAGTATTTAAGGCTGCAGGGTGCGGGGGGATGGGGCCACTCCTATCCCAGACCTTCGTCTATGTCTCTACATCTCACACACTGCTCAGTGTCCCTGCCGCTCACACTGGGCTCAGGAACTTGGCCATTACACCCCCAACCTCTTCACTGGTTCACCTGCTTGTTCACATACTCAATCAACATTAAATGCCCCTCTACCACACGTGTTCCACCAATGCCAGCTCTCGAGGACTGTGATGTACTGAAGCAAAAGAGGCAAGTCAGTGTGCAACAGCAATGCACACGCACCATCACTGGGGTGAGCAGCCACTGCTAAGGGATGGCCAGCCCAGCTTTGGAGGGCAGAGGATGCTTCCAAGAGGGGCAGCTGTGACGTAGGAGCACAGCGGGAAGGAGAGCTCCAGGTGGGGGACAGCACGCATGAGGCCGAAGAGGATCTGTAAGAGGTCCCATTCTGGATGAAACAATAAGATGGAAAGGAGGGAAAGCGGATCGCAACCTTAAGCCAGGACTTCGGAGATCTCCTCATATGCCTGAGACTCCTCTCTCTGAGAAACTGGCAATTCAGAAATAATGTCACGTATAGGACGGGGCGCAAGGCTTAATGGGAAGATATCATCACTGCATCTGTTGGTGTTTTGTTTTTGTTTTTTGGGTACCAGGGATTGAACTCGGGACCTTGCGCTTGCAAGGTAGGTGGTAGAACCACTGACCTAAATCCCCAGCCCAGCATCTGTTGATTTTAATAGCACAGAGGAAGCTAATCAACACTTAATTTCAGAAAACATGTCACAGGCTCTGTGAAGTAAAGCAAAGAACCCACTGGTCTACAGAGGAGAGGTTTCTGTCCAGCTGAAATGTCACACTCCTGTGCAGGGTATGAAACGTAACACCAATTATGAGAAACTGATGGATATAGTACAGTAATGGAGTCAGATCTAGCCAATGAACCAGGGCAGTTACCCTGTAAAAAGTTATCACACTGGTGGGGGAACGGGGAGGGCGCTGAGCTCCTGAACAGCTGTTCTCTCTGAGCTCTCTGGCAAGTCAGTGGCCCTCTGTGGCCCTATGCGGTCCTCCGTGTCCTCATTCACAGAGGAAACTACGGTTGTTGCCAAAGCTCCTAAAACCCACTATGATGACAGGCTACCATAGTCAATGATTACTTTATCACCAAAGGCAAAGACTAAAGTGACTTTGGTGAGGCACAGAGTTACTATCATTTTGCTTAAAAAAGAACAAACATGGGCTGTAAAATTCTTAAAAACACAAATGAAGTTAAATGAAGGTGAATTTTAAAAGTTGACAAATCGGGCATAACTGAATCAAAAGATAATTTAAATTGTAGGACAAGCAAATGAGATTTTTTTTAAAGAAAAGGGAAAGCTTAAACATGAATATAATTAGGCAATGGTATGGGTTGCTCACTTCCCTTCCTCTTGGTTTCATTTCAGTTTTTAGGTTTAAACACTCCTAATGTGTAAATTATTCCATATGAAGATTTCCAGATTTCTTTCTGTTAAGATTTGAAGAGATCTAGGGCCTGGGATTTAGCTCAGTGGTACCACTGCCTGCCTTACAAGCACAAGGTCCTAAGTTCTATCCCCAGCACTGGGGAAAATAAAAAAGATTTGAAGAGATCTTAATGTAAAGGAAATTATTTCTAGATTTCCATCTGATTTAAAGGGGACACAAAGCCTTGAGGACTTACAAAATAAAACTAAAGTAGGTAACTAAATATGGAAAGAAAGAATTGAAGATCTGATTGTAACTATTTAGCAATGGTTAAATAGTAAAAACGGGATGCTCTATAATTTTAGGAACGTGGTAGAATAAGAGGTACCCATAGGTACTTTGCTGCTTAGGAGCACTTAAGTGCCCAGGTGCTTTGTTAAGAACTTAGGATTCTTCTGAATGAGTATCTTCACAATCGCATCACATGGGTTTATCTGCTTTAATTGTACAGAAACTAAGGAGGAACAAAGGCCCAGGGTGGTTAAATACTTAAATAAAGTCACACAGCTTAGAAAGTAAATAAGCTTTGAACCCTGTTCTACTCAACATCAACTCTTCTCATTCAATAAACGATGCAGACTTTAAAGCATCAAAGTAAATAGTTAACTGAAGAAAAATTTCTCCTTTTCATATGACTGTCTTAAATATTTGCCATCATTTCAAGAGAAGCTTATGTTAAGCATGACTTCATAAACAAATTACTTGTGAAAGAGAAAAACCACATCCAGGGTAAAGTTGTAAATTGAAAAGGCTTATTTCAAAGAGCACTTCCTGAAAGAGAGAGAAGCAATTACGGCCAACTCCTCCAGCAAGGCCTACCTTTGAAACATCCTGTTAAAGCAACGAGCCAGTGAAACACAAAAGAAATGCAGCCTTTCTGAAATACACCATTTCCAGACAGAGATATTTTAACACCAGCAACTAAAAAATGTCTCTTTTGTAGAACTGGAGATACCAGAAAATGCTCACTTCTACAACAGCCCTCTGACCAGCAGGAGGTAAGCAACATTAAATTGACTTTGTAGATCAGTATCAAAAGTAATGCTTTACTTACTCAGCATCAGTTTACTTAATTTTTAATATTACAGAAACTATATTGGTAAAAGACTGAAATAGGTTATCATTTTCCCATTACTATGATTTTGCATTTTTAATATTATTTTACACTAAGTGTAAATGCAGTTTTTTTCAAATTCAGGAAATACTGATGTGATAAATCATAAATATATTCAGGTGTCTTTGCCACATGATTTTAATTATACTGTTTATAAAAGTAACTGTTTTTAAGAAAAGAGTAACTCTAGGGAAGGGTTAAGCCTATGAAGGGAGGGCAGGGGGATGGGGAAAAACAAGAACCAAGACATATCATGTAAAGGTACAAGGTCCCAATGATACATGTAACTGTATTGTTTGCTTTAAATGTACCAATAAACTAAATGGAAAAAAAAAAAGAGTAATTCAAGATAATCAAGAAATCTAAAGCTTTATGGAGTTAACTTGAAAAACACTCCTTTAACACTTATCCAAAACAATTTTGTATTTGCACAGCACCATTATACTATAATGCCTTTAAGACACATGCATGCATCTCTCACTGTTTTTTTCAAACTGAAGCAAATGAATACAACTTTTGATGATAAATGGATTACATAAAAGCAGCCTGAACCCAAATGGGGGAAGGTTTACTTATGACAGTTTGTAAGCACAGAAATTTATGAGAGTAGGAGATAGGTGAAAAAAAAAACAAAACAAAATTTCTTACATTATAATTGCTACTGTTTATAAATTCACTGAGATTTAAAAATAAATTTAATATTTAAATGTATGATACTGAAAGTTCGAATTTTTCTGGATAGTACTTTTCTCATTAATAGAAATTAGTATCTAGTTACATCAATATTTGGAAAAATCTAATATAGGTTTTAATATATATACAGAATTCTATTTCAAAATCATATTTAACCCAAAAAGCTGACAAACTAGTTTAGGAAATCAGGAAGGAAGAAAGTCAGGAAAGAAGGAAGGAAAAGAGCAGGAGGGAATAAACTTCTTTTGTTTGTCCACAGCAATTTCTCAAATTAATCTTTACCAAGAGCCCATGATGCCATCGATGACAGGCTGCTAATCTCCCCCATAATCCTCACTAAAGAGAGATCAGGGTTGAACTAGAGACAAGTAGTTCTACAAAGTGACGTTTTTGAGGGGTACTTTTCTAATACCACCACATTTCCAGGAGATGACTCAAAGGTCCACCTCTATGGGGCCAGGGATTTAGCTTAGTGGTTTGGCTTCCTGCCTTGCAAGCACAAGGACCCAAGTTCAATTCCTGGTACCCCAAAAAAGGCCCACCTCTTTGTAGCAAGGCTAGTTTTAAAATTTCTGCCAGCTGTTGCATCGTGGGCAAGGGAAGTTTCATGTCAGGAGGTCAATGATATTTACAATCACAGCTAAGTACTTTTCCACTTGAAATGGACACATTTTCTGGGTGATGGGATTTTATTAGTTTCTATATATACATAAAGTTGCCAAGTGACTTCTTAGCACTGTTTCTCTTAGATATTCCTTTTTAAAACTTGAGAGATGGCACGGATGCTTCAGTACAAGTTATTGTACTGGCAGAAACCTTTTCCAGGCACTGCTTTCTGTGTATCATGGAGGTGGCCAAGATCAGCTTCCAGGACACCAGTCAGTGACCTGGCAGCCTTGGCCTTGGGCACACCCCACTGTGTGCTGAAAACAGCTCACTGGTGGTCCAGCTCTCCATCTGTAGACCTCGATGCAGAACACTGCTGTTTCTAGACCTACGGGAACTCAAAGAGAACATGATGTAATACTATGAACTAAAATGTTTGCCATTTTTTTTCCTGAGCTTTGCAACCATTTATTCCTGTCGAGTGGGTGCACCATTCCAGGGAGTGCCATGATACCAGGTCAATGACCAGAGTGGACAGAGTAAGCTCCTATTCCATCTCTCAGCTCCAAAAATCTATTTCATACATTGTCCTCGATCGGAGGAGGCATTAAATATTAAAGTCATAAGAACAGATACTACTCTTGATCTTAGCCCAAAGGCCACGAAGTGACTGCCACTTAAAAATAATAACAGGGGTTTAATGGGCAACTATGAAAGTCTTCCCTGAGAAACCAAATAGATGCTGAGGGTTACCTCATCAAACTTTTCAAATTTTCATTCACCCACCCTTCATTTAGTAAGTAATTACTTGTTGAGTACCCACTATGTGCTTACTAGACAGTAAGGATGCAGGGGTGTAAAAAGCGTTTCTGCTCCCTTATGGACTGTCCATTAATAACCAGTGTGGTTCTTTTGTTAGTTTTCTAAAATATAATTTTTCTATTGAAATTGTATTTAATGATTAAAAAAGTATTATTTGAACATTACTAATTTTCGTAACTGAATCTGTAAATAGAATGAAGGTGTTAAATAATGGCAAGCCATTTTTATAAGACTTAAAATCCAGATTGACTTTGCCCCAATTAGTCCAATCAAAGAATGCTATCCAACTCCACACTACAGAAGAGAATCATAGAGAAAACATATTCTTTGGGAAGAAGGAGAAAATGAGCAGAGAGAATGAAAATGAGTGATTCTGCTAGAGCACTGTTGTGCCCCGGGCCATTGTACTAGATGAGTACAAAATCAGGCCTGAGGTGCAGCTCAGTGGTGAAATGTATACACGATGCACTGTAAATTAATGCATAATAGTAACCTCTACAGAACATATTCCTTATTGGGTTACCTCATAAGATGCTCTTAAAATTAAAAAAATTACAATTTACTAATCTGAAAAGTCTAATAAGCAGTTTTTCTTAATTATGTTTACAGTTTCTACGTATAATGCCTATCATCAAGCTATGATTACCCCAAGCAACCAAGACCAACCTGGCCCTTCCAATAGCTCACATCCAGATGAATACAAAGTTGCAGCCCTTGTATTCTACAGCTGTATCTTCATAATCGGAATATTTGTTAATGTCACTGCATTATGGGTTTTCAGTTGTACCACCAAGAAGAGAACCACCGTAACCATCTATATGATGAATGTGGCACTACTGGACTTAATATTTATAATGAGTCTGCCCTTTAGAATGTTTTACTATGCAAAAGGTGAATGGCCATTCGGAGAATACTTCTGCCACATTCTTGGGGCTCTTGTGGTGTTTTACCCAAGCATTGCTCTATGGCTTTTTGCTTTTATTAGCGCAGACAGATACATGGCAATTGTGCAGCCAAAATATGCCAAAGAACTGAAAAACACATGCAAAGCTGTGTTCGCATGTGTAGGAGTCTGGATAATGACCTTGACAACCACTGTCCCTCTGCTACTGCTCTATGATGACCCAGACAGAGCCTCCTCCCCAGCTACCTGCCTGAAGATCTCTGATATCATCCACTTAAAAGCTGCCAATGTGCTGAACTTCACGCGACTGGTATTTTTTTTCTTGGTCCCTTTGTTCATCATGATTGGATGCTACTTGGTCATTATTCACAGTCTCCTCCATGGCAGAACGTCTAAGCTGAAGCCCAAGGTCAAGGAGAAGTCCATCAGGATCATCATCACTCTCGTGCTACAGGTGCTCATCTGCTTCACGCCTTTCCACACCTGTTTCGCCCTCCTGATGCTAGACGGGGAAGACAACAGCTACAATCCCTGGGGAGCCTTCACCACCTTCCTCATGAACCTCAGCACCTGTCTCGATGTGATTCTCTACTACATTGTTTCCAAACAATTTCAGGCTCGAGTCATCAGTGTCATGCTATACCGCAATTACCTCCGCAGTGTGCGCAGAAAAAGTTTCCGATCCAGTTTCCGGTCTGGCAGTTTACGGTCACTAAGCAACATCAATAGTGAAATGTTATGAACCGAAGGAAACTGTTTCTCTTCAATCTCTTTAAAATTCATTTTTACAAATATTCTAGGGTTAATGGAGATTCTGCATGATATTATCAAGTTTATCAAATAAACTTCTAAAAACTCATTAAAAAGAAAGCTTTTCAACCTTTAAAACCTCTTCTTACTGTGGCAACGTGACTCAATATCTTGATTTTAATTTGTATTATTTTCATTTAAAAACATATAAAACATTTCATAAATTAACAGAAAAATACAAAAATGTTTTCATACTCAAACCTTATCTACACAGATAACTGACTTAACATTTTGGATTTAATTCTGTGTGCAAGTGACTCACATGAGCAAAAGCCCAGTTACTGCTCAAAATAATTTGAATAAACTATTTTCCATATAGATGCATCTTTTTTATATCTAATTTACACTCAGGACTGAAAGTCTAAATTCAATATTGAACATTCTAAACACCAAATTTCTGAGATTTTTACACAAGCAACTATGTTCAACTCAACACATTACTAGTTCAGAGCAAAATTTCTGGCAGCAGGCAGCAGAGGGGCCTGCAAAGCCTACACCCATTGGTACTTCACTACTATAAAGTCATTTTCTTTTGAAAACAGGCTACATAAGTCTATGATTGAAACCCAAGATCTTATTTCTGCCCAATAATGCAATTCACTCCTATGACCTGAGAGTTTTACTATGCGGTGAAAGACTTTTCTCCAATGTTGAGAGCACGCTCGTCTTGTAAAAATATTATATTACAAAGACACATCTTTCCAGGTTCTATGTCACAGCACGAGTAGCAATTATCAGGGACCTTATACGCTTATCCTATCTTGACTATTTAACTTTTCCATAAAGTAACAAACCAAATAACTTCTCCATCTAAAAGAAAAGGAAAACTATAATCCATAGAACTAACATTCTAAATACTATGGAAGTAAAAAAAGAAAAGATTCAACTATAATCCCCTCTCTGCTAAATCACCTTTATCACTCTTAACATGATCATTCCCTAATGGGACTAAGAACCAAACACATGCATTGCTTATAAAGGGATTTCTAGAATTAACATGGGTACATTCACATTCTAAAAAAAAAGAAAAAGAAACTAATCTAATCATAAAATAGTAGTTTAGCACTAGAAGATCCCTCAGATGATCTAGAACTGCCCTGAAATGTAAAGAAACTAAGGGTGAAAGAAATTTTATGACTTGCTCAGCTAAGAAACCAAGACTAGAAGCCAAGTTTAATTCTCCTTTCAGGTTCAATTTTTCAATAGTAAAAAGTAAAAAGGTTTACTAAATATAAACACTGTCATAACTGCCTAAGATACAAGAGTCAAGGTACTCAAAGTATTGAGATGCAGTTGCTTCTCAGCAAAGAAAAATATTTGACTTTTAGTTTAAATAGCCAAGTAAGATATTCATAAATATCCTTAAATGAATAGTTACTACTAAAACAAGAGAAATAACTTCTGTATTTAATGTGGAGTTTTATGGTAGACACACACAGATAACAACACACACACACACACACACACACACAGTGTTGTATATAGGTCAGTGGTAGAGTGTCTGCCCATCATGCACCAGGCCCTGAGTTCGATCCCCAGCATTGAAGATACATAGTTATAGCCTACTTTCAACTCTAGATGAATTCACTCTTCTGCAACTTATTAAGTGGAAAGGTCTCTGCAATAGTTTTTATTATAAGAAGAGTTTAGTCTTGAAACACAAAGCACAACAAAAGACTTTGATAAAGTAAAAATGCTATCATCATTCTCACAATAAAATTACATACGATCTAAAAGCAATTTATGAAAAAATTATTTAGCATTGTAATCAGACATATTTTAACACAATATGTAAAAATTCAGAATTCTATTCTGGAGGCATTACAATTCTAACACCCACATGCAAATAAAATAATAAGTACAGTGTACAAAGATAGATGTGTGACATGCATGGGTTACTAGACATAGGATATATATGCATATATATATGCACACATATATACATATACAGATGGCTTTTTTTTTTTTTGTACCGGGGATTGAACTTAGGTCCTTGTGCTTGTGAGACAGGCTCTGGAATCACTGAGCTAAATCCCCGGCCCCAGATGGCTTTTAATAATGGAGCTTCTTTGAAACCAATGGTTATATTTTCTAAATTTAAATAACAATGATGAATATCCATCACATGTCAGGAACAATTTCTATGCAAAGCACTACAAGAATAGATGAACAGGTCTATGTATGGTTCAAAGATCTGAGACTCACTATAATCAAGACTATCCCTTCAATATTACTAAGTATAAGGACATAAATACATAATGTAAAACTTGCTTCTTCCTCAAAGAACTGGTAGAGGGCATCAAAGGCATATATGATTGTGATGATGATGATATTATAAAAAATATAATGTAAATACCAACAGGAATATTAAGAAAGTGTTGTATATTCATAAAAAGGGCAGTGAATCCTGACAAAAGGCAAAAGGGAGCCAAAAGCACACCAAATAGACATGAGAATATAAATACTGCACATAACAGGTTAAAGTCCAATGACTGCTAGGGGGAAAAGACTAAATACTGAATGGTGGTCAGATTCTAAGATCTTAAAAGAAGAAAGCTGACAGAGAGGAGCAGGATCTACTGCAAGCACCTTCGTGTGAGTGAGATTATTTACCTCTCACCACTGTGCTGTGAAGTACAGAGTACCTTGAACTGACACATGATGGTTATCTACACGGAGCACTCAGCATAGAACTTGAGAGATGCGACTTGCTCGAGCTCGAGAGTTTATATGCCTCGTAAGTGGCACAGCTGGAATCTCAAATCTGTGATGACAAAGCCCCTGCCATTCCCACTACTTCAGACAGCCTTGCTGGCATTTGGGAGGAGTCTGACCTTTATTCTGAAGGATATGGGAATTTAAGGATATCAAAAGCAAGGACTGGCACAGTCAAGCCTGTATTTTAGAAAGGTAACTTCTGACAGCATTGTACAGAACGCTCTGAAATTGGCAGGAAACTAGAGAATCACAATAAAAATTCATACAAGAAAAGACCAGAGGGGAAAAAAAAAAAAGATCAGAGATTAGATGAGGGGGATGCTAGTGGAAGTAGAGAAAAAGATGAACAAATGAGCTGTTTAGGACTTTGAATTAATAAGAATGGTGCCCTACACCACAGATAAGGAAAAGATTTGTCAGCTTGGATGACCAAGTCCATGGAAATGTATCACTAAGGAAGCCAAAAGGCAGAGAAGACAAGGGGAGACAGGAGACCAGAAGACCTAAGAACTTCTAAAGGTCAAGTTTGCAATCTAGAAGCCAGTAGGAAACATGACTGTAGAAAGATTAGGAGAGTAGTAAGGGCTGGGGATAGAGGGCTAAGAAACAAACAATGGATGTGAACTGTCGATGAAGTCACAGCAGAGGCTGAAATAATCAAAAAACAAACATACAAACAAACAAAACCCTGCTGGGAATAAGCTGAGCTGAGAAGAGAGATGCAGACAGTGACTAAGGTCAATAAGACCAGGAGAGGTTTGTGCTGGGACCTGAGGGAGCTGGTGATTTCAGGAAATAAAAAGAGGTTAAAAGCATTTAATGTGCTACTGAAGGTCAAGTAGGATGACTGGTAGCTTAAGAAATTAGGTGGTTACTGTAGACCTTTGTAAGAGAAGTGTCAACAGTGGTGAATAAAATAATAATTAAGCACAAAGTAAAACATTTTAGAGTGCACAGATAAATTTGGCACCGATGGAAAAGAAAAAGATGTTATATGAAAGCCAATGCAAAGTTGGCTGGGGATGTGGCTCAGTGGTTCCGCAGCCTGCCTTGCAAATGCAAGGGCCCGAGTTCGATTCCCCCAAAACAAAAGCAAAACATTGAAAAACAATGCAAAGTGTAAAGCACTTTAAGAATAATTTCCTCTCTTGGGTCTTTGAAACTGTGCTACTATCAATAAAAGCTTCACTTACAAAGCTCAAAGTCTACTGAAGTGAAGATTTACATAAGAGGTCTGTATTTGTGCAAGCATCAAAATTCTAAAAATAAATACCAAGATGTTTTATGACTTGAAAAGAAGAAGAAGTATCTTTTCATTTAGGAAAAACTGCAACTTTGGAGTTTAATCAAGGTTGCAACTCTCTGTACACACTGAGATTTAAACACTTCTCTCCCAGATTTAGCTCAGTGGTACCACACTGCCTCACAAGTGCAAGGTCCCGAGTTTGACCCTCAATACCAAAAATAAATAGACAAATGCTTCTCTCTCAAGAATAAGTAAAAACAAAAATCCACCAACTTCAAAACTAAATTAGATCTCTTTTCATGTGCCAGTTAATTGGACTTCATAACGTAATGAAATGAATGAAGATAAAGGTTCTATGGTCATCTGACTCTAAGTGCAGTGACAAAAGCATCATCAGACAAGAAGTCAATATAAGTAATAAAAACTGTGCTACTCCCCTCCCAAGTTACTACAGTGCAAACACACATAACATACACACTCTTCCAAAACTCAGGAAGCTTCACAGAAAACCAGAAAGAACTAACTTGGATGAGAAATGTTTCAGGAGAAATGAGAGGATTCACCAAGGCTCTTCTTTCCTGAATGAACACAGACTTCTTCCTGATGCCTGAACTGTTTATAAGACCAGAACAGCCAACTTATAATTCTCAGCTAGTACATTACAAGCCCTGAGACTCAGCAAAACCTGCGCAGGAATTATGATTACAGAACTTTATCTACCTCCACTAATGTATGATTCAGAACCATCTATTTTTAAAGTAGCTCAAGGTCAACATTCATGGATGCCCACTATAATCCCAAGAGGCAAACTACACTGTAAATACTAATAATATAACTAAAAGCTATTAGGACACTCCATTTTTAGTATATGAGCTGCTGAATTGAGCACTTAGAACACTCCATTTTTAAAACAAGAATCCCAAGTGAATTTTGAATTAAGAAACATATAATACATCCAGTACAGATACATACAATAGCCTAACAATTCTCAAAACTAGGTATTTACAATTTTAAAAAAGCTGAAGCTAGCAGACACAGAATTCTAAATATCCAGAATCTGTATTTCATATTATCTCACTCCCAAACATAGGCTCATATATCTCATTTAGAGATGCCTTAAGGGTTTAATAGGTGATTAAAAACTTACACACTAACACACAATTTTTGTTTTTGGAGGGTTTTTAGTGGGTGGGTTTTTGTTTTGTTTGGTTTGGTTTTGGTTTTGGTTGAGACAAGGTCTCACTATGTAGTTCAGGCTAGCCTTGAATTCACTTTGTAGCCCAGGCTGACCTCAAACTAATAGCAATTCTCCTGCCTCAGCCTCCTGAGATTACAGGCATACACCACCACACTTAACTCTTTGTTTTTAAAGAAGATCAACACAATATGGAAATGCATACACATGTGTATACTGTGTACAAAGTTGTAACCTATACACTGACTTCATTTTACCTTTGATAGAAGTATAAAAATGCAGCTTTAAAAAAATTTTTCAGAAACTTAACTTTATACAAATTTATTTTACTTCTTAATCTAGTTAAATCTTTCATTTTTGTGTTTAATTAGTTGTTAAAATTACAAGGACAAAATATCACTATAAAAATATACAAAACAATCCATCTTTCAGACCTAATAGCAAATCCATTAAAAATTCTCTAAAACAGAATTTAAGAGCTCAAACAAAGAAGTGTGTGTGTAAAATTGATTGCTTCTAGAACACAATGAGTATATAAGGGTACACAGGTTTTTTAACTACATCCAAAACTTTACAACATTCTTCTACTGACTTGCATGAATAATAATGCTTTAAATTATATTTAAGAGTTCCAAATTAAGCCAATCTTTAAGAGCTACTTACAATCCAGAAGGCAAATTACTAGCAGCAGCGATACCAAATGAATACTGCACGGCTTCAACGAGGATGAAGTCAAATAAAGCTGACAAAACCCAGGAACCCAGCAAAAAAGACTAAAGAATAAAAATAGGAAAAACATGAAATAAATGAGTTGTCAAAAATAAACATTTATTTAACTAGAACCACCTTGGGTGTGTGTGTGTGTGTGTGCATTTTGATTATTTGTTTTTATTAGAATAGACTTTTAAAATTGGGGAGTAAAACCACACTGTTCAAATCCATTAGCTTCCATATTTCCTAAATATATTGAAGACATTATAATTAAAGTAAGATATATTTTTAACAAGGGACACACAAACCATTAGGCAAAATACAGTAAGTGACTAGAATTTGATTAAAGTCAAAGTCCTAATAAAATATTTTTTACCTGCTGGCAACTAATATTATCTATTCTCAATAGCATCACCACCATGTTATTATTTTATTGTGCTTTTGGCTTAAATTTTTAAAAAAATTTTGGTTAATGTTTGTGCCCCATACCAGATACAGGAACAAGTAATGAAAAAGATAAACAATATACTAAGTTTAACTAAACAAAAATCTATTTTACTTTTTTTTTTTTTTTTCTTTCAGGGCAAACTTTGCTATATTGAAGACATTATAATTAAAGTAAGATATATTTTTAACAAGGGACACACAAACCATTAGGCAAAATACAGTAAGTGACTAGAATTTGATTAAAGTCAAAGTCCTAATAAAATATTTTTTACCTGCTGGCAACTAATATTATCTATTCTCAATAGCATCACCACCATGTTATTATTTTATTGTGCTTTTGGCTTAAATTTTTAAAAAAATTTTGGTTAATGTTTGTGCCCCATACCAGATACAGGAACAAGTAATGAAAAAGATAAACAATATACTAAGTTTAACTAAACAAAAATCTATTTTACTTTTTTTTTTTTTTTTCTATCAGGGTTCAAACTTAGGACCTAGGACCTTGTGCTTGCCAGGCAGGCACAGTGCCACGGAGCTACATCCCTGGCCCAATAAAATCTGTTTTAAAATGGAAGGGGGAAGTAAAAAAATCTTCTCTGTAACCTAAGTAGCAAAGGCAAAATATATTAAAAACTTACTGCAAATTTTCTGCTCCCGTATCTTCTTTCAAATATCCTAAAATTATAAATAAGTAGACTACTGCAGAAAGTATCTTTCAAATCAAGGCAAATTAGTCTTCCACATATCAACCTCCAAATCTAGACAGGGATTTAAAAATGAACAATGAATAAGAGTAAAAATTTGTCCAGTTCTCTGCCTTACCAAATATATTGTTTATACTGGTTATTTTTATACTGTAAGCAAAATCATGATGCTACAAAAAAGGAAACCAAGTATGTATGACTCTGAGAAATAAGTTTAATTCTCTCATACTAAAAATTCCTCCTGACAACAGAACAAATGGTAGAGTTTCTTTGCTACTTAGAAGAAAACATTCTCTTAAAACAGAAAAAAATTCTGTTAAAAAATTTTAAACTGTAAGATAAAAAAATTATATACATCAGCTGAAATGAGAAGCTAATGAATGTTCAGTTTTATTCCACTAAATAAAACAAAACGGCAATGGAAAAACAACTTAAACTCAAAAACACATATTTCTGAGCTTAATTTTAATAACCAATCTATTTCACAGTACCTAACTACAAGGTAATTTATGAGAACTGCCACTATATATTACTAGATTTAGAAATGTCATTTTTTAAAAAAATAAATTTCGGGCTAGGTAAAAAACACACGTAAGAAAATATACAAAGAAAGAGCTCAGCCTATTTTCAAGTCTTAAGCAAGTTCCAAATTTTTACAGATAATCCCAGTGACCTTTGTAGAACATTCCAAACTTACTGCCCCTCACAATTACCTTATGATGTAGGCAAAACAAATCAATCCTATATTTCCTTTGAATTTTTATCTTAATAAAATAGAAGATAAAATTTACCATGTTGAATGTTTCTCTATGTCCAATGTAGTGTCATTAAGAGCACTCACAATTTGTATGGCCATCACCATTATCCAGTTCCAAAACATGTTTAATTTCCTAGACAGAAAGTCTGCATACGTTACACACTAACACCCCATTCTCCCTCCTGCAGCCTCTGGTACCTCCATTCTTTCTGTCTCCACAAATCTGCCTGTTTTAAGTACTTCACATAAGTGGAATCATACAATGTTAGTCCTTTTGTGTCTGGCTTACTTATTTCATTTTACATAATGCTTTCGAGGTTCATGCTGAAGCGTGTATCAGAATCTCATTCTCTTTCATTGCTGAATAAGTTCCACTGTTTGTACTTACCACATTTTATTTATTTATTTCCCTGCTGATGGACAGACACTAGCTTGTTTCCACTTCCTGGCTATTGTGAACAATGCTGTTATGAATGCTGATAATACTATCGTTATCTTAAGATCAAGAGAAGGAGGTACAGAGAAAGTATTTTACTTTCTAAAGTGATCCAACCTCTTCTCTTGCCAAATGAAATACAGAGGAGAAAACTGACCATGCCCACTGTTGAAATAATTCCTCTGTGTCTCTGCTTTAAGCAAGACACCAGGCAGTGTCCGCCTTCAGCGTATTCAGAGCACTGGGCTGGCTCCGGGATGGCCCGGGAGTCCATTCCACCTGTCCACCTGGCTGAACTGGGTTAGCTGCCTGCAGGCCCGAGGTGAAGCTCCAACTGGATTCAAGGGGAAAAGGCCCCATGATGAGGCAGGACCAACCAGCATGGGCATGTAACTTCTCTCAGTTAGTAACAAATAAAACTAGTAGCTACGGTTTTCAATAATTGATGTTTTGGGACCATATTCATGGACATGAACACTTGACTGTAAGAATAAACTATTATATACTATCATGAAGATAAATGCCTCCTGAAGGCTGATCACTGCCTCAGACCCAACAAAGACCTAAAGAAAACTGAAGATACTATCTCTGTCTTAATGCCAGAATTTGGGAGAATCAGAAATTACAAAATAAAGCCATTATCAACTCATCCAATCCAAGCCTGACTAGTCTCCAGCCATGCCCTTCCACGGTACTCCTGAGGGTTTAGAGTTCACATGACTTCCGAAGCACAACACATTTCTGTCTTTGCTGATAATTCAGTCATTCATTCCAGGTCCAAGTGAAAACTCACATCCCCAAGCTCTCGGGCCTATGCCACACTCTGACTTCATTTACCATTATCCAAAGATCTAATGCATGCTTGTGTCTTACAATATGGTGTCCTTATGTATTTGAGTCTGTAACAGTTCTTAGTGGATGTTGACACCTTTAAAGCACAGATGCCAAGGGAGTAGTAGTGCTCTGCCAGATGATCCAAATTAACCCTAGAAGTCAGGAAGGCCCCAACCCAGGGCCAGAGGGCCTCACAATCCCTTACAGCACAGCCTCCCTGGGCTCCAGGCTGGCCTCACACTGGACTCCTCTGAAGGCCATTTTAAAAAGTACATGGTGCCCGAGCCCCACTGCCAGCCTCTTTGATTTGGCTGGACTAGGGTGATTTTACTCTGGGTATTAAATGTGTATGTGTGTGTATGTATCTTTTTTAAATGTTTCTCTAAGTGATTATACTTTGGAGCCAAGGTTGAGAACCACTGTATTACACAAACTGACACAATACAGAAGCAACTCTCTATTCTGAGAGTAACAATAGAGATAACAACTGAAAGACCTTCATGGGGTCTTGGTGACATCAATCTGAGCAATGGTACTAATTACACCTCAATGAAGAAAAGGGGTCAGTGTTTGAGAACTGCATCCTATGCTGAGAATGGATAATTGAGGATTTAATAAAGGGTGGTGTTTAGTAAAGAAAGGTTATACAGCATAACTTTTAATAGCTCCAACTCATAGACAAGACCCCATCAGCACCATTTTTGATGAGTTCAGTCCATCAGTCTTGGAAGCTGTTGAGTTCTGTTCTTCCTAATGGCAAACACTCACGAACAATCTCCTACTTGGTTTAACTACCATCATAAAAATAATTATAAATTCACATTGTATTACAATTGAAAGCTGAGATGACCTAATCAAATATTCAAACTGAGCCAAGTTCTTGGAAGTGTTAAGTATGCAAACTGATCCTAAAAAAAAAAAGACAACATTGTTTCAAAAATTCCCTTGAAATTACAAGTTGCATTTCCATGAGTAAAAGTGAAACCAAATAGATGTGTCCAGTGAGAGAAAAATACTGCAATTTTCTCATTACTATGTTTTGCTGGAAACATCAACAGATACAAGTAGAACGTGTACTTGTCAAGGAAGTATTAATAGTATTTCTTAACAAATTCAGGGACTTGGGGAACTAATGCGTGGCAGGGGAAAAAGCAAATCCCAGAGGCCGAGGGAGCCACACTCACCTGGAAGTCATTCTTGACGGCATGGAGGTCATACACGAAGAACTTCTGACAGTGTGGCAGTAGGAGGGCCAGCAGGAGGGACAGGGCACTAGGAACCAGCAGAAGACTCTTTGACAGAGGTGCCTTGTCTAGGGGGAAAGGAAACCATGGTCAGGGTGATTACACCTAAGATTAAAAAAAATTACATGGGTGAAAAGCAAGAGAATTCCCTTTTTAAAATCAGAGGGCAGATGAAGTACAGAAGCTCTACGCTTAGCTCCCAGTAAAACTCTGCAGAAGTGGGCCATGAGAGGACACTGAAGCACACGGAAGTCACAGCACTGTTTGCTGACTCTTACAGGACCACAGCAAGTAAATACCAGGAACCTGGCAGGACACCCTTCAGAAAACGGTTACGCAAGTATAAAGTAGAGTGTGTTTTCTACCAGATCAACCAGTTTGCTCAGAGTGTGAAGGAGAAAAACACATTTGTTTTAAAATAAAAAATTTTAAGAGGTGAAAGTGTTAACACTGCTGACTGCAGTGGCCTCCTGAAATTTTCTATCCTGAATACAAGCACAGTCCAAGTCAGTTTTCCATGAGAGCCTGTGTAACCTCCGCCATGCCCTAAAAGCAGCCATCACATCTGTGATTTTTTTTTTTTGTTATAGCAGCAATAGGAAACTAATGCAGTGATTGTAATGAAAAGGACTGATATATCGCAGAAGAAAGGCGGCTGGCAGAAATCTCCACAGTAAGAACTCTCACAGCTATTTCATGACTCTGCCATAAGAGAATAAAATTCTGGAAACCACCAAAATCAGAAAGGTAGATGACAATCACAAGGTAGGAAGAAAGATTACTCCAATTTAGCAATTATGCAACAAGAAGGCGAACACTGTTCTAAATACTCTTGACCCATTTTTTACAAAGAAATAAAATGTTTTAACCCTTAATGTCTCTAATATTTTTAATAAGTTAGTACACTAAAAAACAAGTCTTACTACATTTACTACTATATATGAAAATTTTTTTAAGTTAAAAAGGCATTTTCAACAAAGAAATTTAAAGGTAGTGACTGATCCCAATTTTTCCCGATTATTAAAATAACACTGCCTCTGTTCAGCTCGTGGCTACTTTGGTGGCACCACATCACTGTGCAAAGCAAGGACAGCATGCATGGGTGTGGTCTTCTTTCCTAAAACAGCCTGGTACTTTTCTGTTACCTCCGGGACAGGACCACCATTACCTCCTGCCTGGTTTCCCCCATGCCAATTCTGGGTCCACAGCTTCTCCAGCAGCTCTGTCCTGTGGATCTTTTACTGCAACCAAACTGTTCCTCTCTCTGCCTCCTGAACACAATGGTTTCTCTTTCAGTGGTTCTGGAACAATCCCAAACTCCATCCATCCCTGGCTAGTACAGATACTCCCTTTCTCAAGCGTATGCAGCTGCATTTCCACCTCCCTCCACTGGCATGAGTGAGCCATTCTGGCCAAGAGGGCTGTTCCCCACTTCGTGCCTTGGCTTCTACACTGCCTCAACCATCATGGCTCCACGCAGTTTTGCCTTCCCAATTACCGTACCCTAAAGATTCCTAAAGGGAGACCTGTGCCTTCCCCTTCTAATATCTGCCGTGAAGCCTCACACAGCTCCATTTACAGAGGAAACACTCAAATCACCAACAGGCAAGATATAGACAAGTATCAGAGATGGGGGCACTTTCAGATTCTGTAAGGTACAGTTTAATGTTATTCATAAGAAATTCCCTGGGGGTGGATTTACCAGTTGCAGTTGATACTGTGGTTATTGTGCTTGTTTGAGCATATATAAAAATAGCCCACTATTTCCTCTCTGGTAAGGTCCTGCAAACATCTAGAGTGGAACCACTAGCAATGGTTACACATTTTTCTCCAAGGTCACAAGGAATCTAAAAACCTAACGGAGCTTCCCACTGCCTGGTGTCTCAAAGGTATAGGGGGTGCCATGGCTGCTGAGGGTGACCAACCTAAATTCTGTCGTGAGCAATGACAGCCTGTTTTCTCACCTGTGAAGTGGGGAAGAGAACCTACTTCAAGAGTGTCAGAGGAAGGAAATAAAGAATGAATGAAGGGCAAAAGTCTTAGGCCCCCAGGAGGATGGGCTTCCTTTGTGCCAGGCAATCTCCTGTGCCCCTGAGACAGGACTGAGGGGGTGCATGGTCCAGACGACACTCGGAGGGACAGCTGGGATCACGCTTCCTTCTCCACCCTGGGTTTCCACTTGTCCTTGTGAAACAGCCCCATCATTCTTGCCTCTTCTTTGCTGTTCCTAAGCAACTCAACATGAATGGAGAAAATCTCAGCGCCGAGCTGGAAGGTTTCACTTCAAGCTCCATCTCAAGTCTCACAGAGACTCTCACCTCTGCTTCTCTAGAAGTCTACTGCCAGCTTCCTGACTCATGCCAGCTGCTCCTGTCTCCCGGGAACTCCCCTCTATACTTCTAACTTGGTTCACATATCACCAGATGAGTAAATGATTCGCCACAGCATTCTCAATCACTCTGTAAACATTTTTTTGGTGCCAGGGATTGAACTCAGGACCTTGCACTTGCAAGGCAGGCACAGCACCACTGAGCTACATCCGCAGTCCAATCACTCTGTAAATATTAACAATCACCTATTGCACACAATACATTTTTTAGACCCTAGGGTAAGTCAGTAAATGAAGGACAGAGTCCCTTCTCTTGTGGTGTTTATAATCAAGATGGGAGAGAAAAGAAAATAAACACAAAAAGGTGGATATGTGTCAGATGGAAACAAAGACCTTAGAAAAATAAGGGGGGTAAACCTATGGCTGCTACCACACGCTTCCTGGTCTCTTCTCAGACACATAGTTGATTGCTACCCACCCACCAATCCCAACTGAAGTTAGATATGGCAACAGGACGACGGGTCGCTTCCAGGCAGATACTTCAATAGCCAGTGCTCAAGACGGCGGCCACCCTACCAGCCAGATCTCAGGCCTGACGACAATGTAGGCAAAACCCTCTCCCACCCGCCGGTGATTCTCAAGGAAGATGTGCCACTGGTAATGAGGCTCTTAGGCTACGCCTTGTTCTCTTAGGCTAGGCCTCTGATACCTTGGAGTTGTTTGCTATCACCGCACAAACGAGCCCTGCTTGCTTAGAAGGCAAAAGACTGCTATAAGGAGGGGGTCATTTATACAGGGCAGTTAGGAAGAACTCTTCTGACAGGGTAAGACTTGAGCAAAGAACTTAGGGAGTGGGCCCTGTAGACCTCTAGGGGAAGAGTGTTCATTAATACTAAAGGGAAAATGCTTTGAGAAAGGATACGCAGTAGGGCAGCCAATGCAGCTGGACAGAATGAGTGTAAGGCACACAGGTAGGATACAAGGTCAAAGAAGTGGGAGAGTAGAGGGCTGTGGATCTAGCACAGTGGTGCCGTGCTTTTCTGGCGAGTGTAAGGTCCTGAATTCAACCCCCAGTAGCCCCCCCCAAAGAAAGAAAAAGGAAGAAGTGGGAGAGTAGAGAGTGGAGAGCCCTGTAGGCCATTGTAAGGTTGCTAACCTTTCCTCGGAGGCTGACAGAATGCTTTTTTCTTGGGGGTGGGGGAAGTAGAGGAATGGCACCATCAGGTACCTTTTAAATGATCACCCTGATGGCTAAGTTGAGAGGAGATCACAGCATGGCACGGGCAGAAAAGGGAAAACCAGCTGAGCGGCTATTTAGACCATTTAGGCTAAATTAGCTCAACTGAGGGAGGTTTGGATGGACACGCTGAGAGGCATTAGACTTGGGATAGGTTTTGAAGGTACAGCAGTCACAATCTGTTGACTGACTGGGTATAAAGCGTGGGCAAATGGAGAAGTCACAAATTACACCAAAGTTTTGTTCTGAGCAACCGCAAGAACTGTTGCCAGTTACTGAGTTCCTGGGATGCTGTCTTTACCACATCAGAAGATCTGGGCCAATCTCGCACAATACTCCCAAACACCCACGTGGCCAGGCTCTCCTCTCTACACAAGTTGCCAGGCTGCAAACCATCACCAGCCCACACCAGGCAGCTAGGAAGTGCTGGAGAATGGACCAGCATTGCTTCCTTAAGGGATGAAGACCTGCTATGAAAAAAGATCACTGGAGGTAAACATGTGCTCTGCTTAAATATCATCTTATTTGTATGCACCCACCCCCTGCAGCTGTTTATCCTGTTTGTACTGATTTTTTATAGCACTTAGCAGCAGACTTAAGAGTGATTCATCAATGCTATGATTCAAGAGGAATATAAAATACACCATTATTTTTGGTGACACTAAAAAGAAACTTTACCAGATATAATTTTGAGATGTCATCAATTATAAGACATGCCTCAATTTAAAAAACATTAAAATGTGAAGGAAAAAAAAGTGGATTTTTAGAAGCAAACATTTCTTTACTTACTGTCCATCTCGGCCACCTCCCACTCCACTGGACCCGAGAGCTGTGACCCGTCTGGTGTGTTCACTGCTGTAGTTGCTCTCGTGCCCGACACTGGACCTGTGTCAAGAGTGGTCAGCATGTCCTCGTTGCATGGAAGGGCCCTGACACACAAGAAGAGCTCACACACTAACTTGTGGGGTGACCCAACTGTCCACTGACACAAATGGACCACCAGATAAACTGGGCCACACACATACAACAGAATTTAATTCAGCCTTAATAAGGAAATTCTGACTCCTGCTAAAACAGGGATGAATCTTGAGAACACAGCTAAATGAAATGAAGCACTCATAAAAAACAATTCCACTTACACAAGGTACTTGAATACTGAAATTCACAAAGAGAAGGTAGAATGGTGGTTGCCAGGGCCAGGGCAGGAGCAGGGAGTGGGGATTGTTATTTCATGGATAAAGAGCCACAGTTTTCTAAGATGGAAAGACTACTGGAGATGGTTTGCACAACAGTATGAATGCACTTGATACTACAGAACTGTACGCTTAAAAATAGCTAAGACTGTAAATTTTGCCAGGCCTGGTGGCACACACCTGTAATCCTAGGATTTGGGAGGCTGAGGCAGGGGGATCACCACAAGTTGGAGGCCAGCCTGAACTACACAGCTGAGACCATCTCAAACCACCCTTCCAAAAGGAAAGACTGCAAATTTCATGCATACT